GATAGAGCAACAACTTTTGAACAGGGGCGGATTTAGGAAATTTGGGGTCACAGGCAAAAACAGGCAGGGGGCCCTCTGAGTTAAGAAGGCAAAACATAAAACAGCCCCATTCTCCAGATAGAGAAATGTTAATAGAATAGACATCCATTATCTGTTCTAGGTTGTGTCCCTCTCTTCTTGTGCCTCTCTTCTTGTTGTTTTCCTCTCTATGTTTTGTACTCAGCTGACTTTTCATGCTGTCTCTAAAGGAATGAAAGATTTTTTCCAAGCACTAAGCTCACTTAGCTGATTGCTCCTTCCTGTTTTTGCCGAGACAAACTTATTATAAGCGTTCTGATGGCATTTTAGCAAAAGGATTTTTTATCAAAAACATTATTAATGTGTACAAATAAGGAAAAGTTGTATTAACCATACATGTAAACAGAGTTTTATGGGGCCCCCAGGAACTAGGCAACTGCCTAGTATTGCCTAATGATAAATACCCCCTTCTGAACAACATGAGCAAATTCAAATAGTTTTTTTCAGGCCAGGAGAAAGTCCCGCTCGCCCAGATACCGGCGTCCAGGTGGCTTTAGGAGATATTCTGTCTGGTGAGCCGATGCCAAAGAAAGCATGGCTTCCCCATAAATCCTGGACACTGGTTTTGTTGCTGCTTTTGTTCGCCGAGGAACTGAAAGGGGCCCTGAAATGCAGGGAGCATAGCTAATGAAGCTCACAGCCAGGCAGGAGGAAGGCCCTGGTAACAGAACTGTGAGGAGATTGAGGAAGTGAAAAAGAGCAGAAGGAGAAGTGAGGAGTGTTTCTCTTATCGCAAATAAAAATGCCTCTAAAAGCCACATCACGGCTGTCGGAAATTAAAGCAGGCGTCTTTATATTGCGTTTCTCGCTGTTGATAACCCTCTGAGGCTGAGCACTGGACACCGCCATGATGTGAGAGCGCTGAGCGTCAGGCTGGGCTCACAACAGCATGCTCAGGGAGAGGTGGAGAGGATCTTTCACTTCACACGCACAGGGAAGCTCATACTTTCCAAGCGTACATTCAACATTTCAACAGGCCTGGCTGAAGGCTACTCCTACACAAGCAAAAAGAAAAATGAAAAAAAAAAAATATGCAGGGAAAGGCTGCAAACCTTCTGGTGGGGTAGAAAATAAAGAACGTCTAGACACTGGCTTATGACTGAAAGAAATTCAAACCACATGTGAGGCTTTTCTACTGCGCCTAAAAAAGAACAACTTTAACTGTGACATTTACGTCCAGATCCTTATCGGTTTGTTTCCTCCATTACAGGAGCAACAAACCGGGCAGAAACAGCATCCCGAATGAGAGGATCATGATCAAATCTCTTCTCTGGACGACAGTTTCCTTAGAGGAAAACTTTTGTTTTTACTTTGCAGACAAAGAGCTTCAGTGAAATTATGGCTGGCTGCAATTATGTAGCTGAAAATGTGTGAAAGTTCACTTGTTACACCTTTTAAAAATAGACGAAAAGTAATAAGTCATGAAAATTATTTCCTTTTTGTCCTTCTTTTGCATACAGTTTTCAGAGGGGTTTGTTGGAGAACAATAGTTATCAAACAGCACAAACAAAGTAAAAAAAAAACAACAATCCGCTGGACTTTGTTTCAAAGTCTGAAGACGTTTCTCTTCCCATCCAGGAAGCTTTTTCAATTCAAAATGTCAGAAATAGAGTTGAGTTCAAGGCTTTATAGAGTGGACCAAAAATAAAGCCTTGTTTTGGCTTAGAAAACATGCAAACTGGACAAACAGATACACCCCTTCCCTTTAACAACCTCCTTTCAGTGACATAGACAGGTATGGGGTATTGCAGGCTAACAAAGAAGCCAAACTACTCTGATTCCAAAGGGGTGGACCCGTTCATCCATTTCAATTTGCAAAATTTTTAAACAAAAATAAGGCTTTGTTGGGCTACTGTATAAAGCCTTGAATTCAACGCTATTTCTGACTTTTTTAATGAAAAAGCTTCCTGGATGGGAAGCGAAATATCTTCAAACTTTTAAACAAAGTCCAGTGGATTGTTGTTTAACTTTTCTGGAATGACTCTGACCTGGATGACTGAGAAACTTCACCAGCACATGCAGAGAAAGGAGCACAGCAGACAGATCAGAGAGGAGTTTAAAGCAGCGTTTGGGTGGAAACTAATAGGAGTGTCTCAAATCAACTTATATTATATATACCATATTTTCACGACCGTAGGGTTCACCGTACTAAAAGGCGCAGTCTCAGTTATGTGTGCCATTACTGTATTTAATGGTGCACTGGACTATAGGGCGCAGGTTTTATATACCGGTACATGTCCTCTACTACGTTTAAATACCTCTACTGCATATTTAAAAATAGAGCGGGAGCAAAACTGAGTACGTTTGTGCTTTATTCATGTATTTATTACAAAGCATTAATCAAACCCATCGAAGTCATCATCCTCTGTTTCTGAATTAAACAGCTGCGCTAAATCAGACATGCCAATTTCCCCTTCTTCGCTCCGCTCGAGTCTTTCCTCTGCCTGTCGGAGTTCGTTTTCCATCTTCCTCCATTTGCGAACCATCGATTCATTAATCTTGAATTCTCTCGCGGCTGCTCAATTTCCATATTCCTCTGCGTAGCTGATAGCCTTCAGTTTAAACTGTGCTTCATAGGCGTGTCTCTTTGCCATTTTCAGGGTTGTTAAGACAACAATGTTCTGCATCAAGCACATACCTGTTCTTTTATACACAATCCACGCCCACACTTCCCCCTTTAACGCTCTCATGGTGGTCTCAACAACGTCCGCAGTAACAACACACATTGGGCGCATCGCACTATAGGGCGCGCCGCACATTTTAAGGGGGAAAAAAAAGACGTTTATATGCGCCTTATAGTCTCGAAAATACAGTAATTGCAGCTTTGAGTATTGGCCAATATCGATATTGACCCAATACGATATCAGCATTAATCGTACATTCCGGTTTTGCCTATTTTATAGAGTGGACTGATAGAAAAGGGGTTTGATTAAGTGATCAAATATTCAAACAGAGAACAATACGTAAGAATATAAATAGGGATGCACGATATAATCGGCCCCCTATCGGTATCTGCCTTAAAACTGAATATCGGACATCGGCCACCCCATCGATATTTAACCCGATATTTGATCAGCTTCTGAGTTTCTAAAGTCTAAAACAAAACAAAAAAATACTGCTTCTTCTTCTTCCTCAAAAACTTCTTTTTTACGGACTTAAAAACTTCTAAAGACGAGGGAAAAAATATTGATACAATATTTGATCTTGATCTTCATACGCTGATATATTGCCATTTAAAAACACCATATCAATCTCTTTTACTAATGAAATATTGCTATATGTCATCGTTATGCTACGAAATCCCCCGAAAATTCACGAAATGTTGCCATATTTTTATACGTTGATATATTGACGCGGTATCGATCTATTTTACTAACAAAATCTCACAAGAATTTGCAAAATATCACGAGAGTTTGTAACAGAACGATGAAATTTCACGAGATTTTGAAAGTAAAATAGATCGATATCGCGTTTTTAAAAATCAATTTGATATCAGCATATGAAAATATATTTGAGTATATTATTTTTCAAAGTGTCAGAAATGGATAACAAAACTGCTATTTTCAATGACTACTTATTTTTGTCCAGCTTTAACATCGGTATCGGTTATCGGCTGCATGAGTTTTAAAATATCGGCATATCGGATATCAGCCAAAATCCCAATATCGTGCATCCCTAAATATAAGGTATGCGAACAACTGACCTATCGCAAATACCATTGTTGTCATTGTCACTTTGCCACAAAAAGTTCATCAGAAAACTGTCTACTCTGGAGAGTCTTCAGAGTTGTAAAGCTAAACTTCATTAAGCTGATTTAAATAAATGTTTAGCCGCCTTTCAGACACACAAACTACACAGGATTTCTGGAAACATGGGTTAAAAAAACTAAACAAAAAAAACAATTCTTGGAACTTTCAGTGATTTGTGGGCTATTTAAATATTAACACGTCACTGAGCGAAAAACATGGCTAATTGGGCACAGTTAGGACATTTTCCGTTAGGGGTGTACTTACTTTTGTTGCCAGTGGTTAAGAAATCAATGGCTGTTTGTTGATTTATGCAAACGCCTAGTTTACATGGTAACAAAGTGGGAAGTCTACAGTGTTTTCTAGGGAAGCTCCAATCCAATACTCATATTGGAAACAAGCAAATATCTGAATATATATAGATAAGCGAGCTGATTGGTGGTACCCTCTGCATAAAATCTCCTGATCGAGCCTTTTCTAATATGCTACACAACAAAATTATAAAATGTGATTCCTGTTGAAATCCTATAAAATCAACACTCAGAGCAGAAACATCTGTATCATACCGGAAATTAAAACATATCTTGTGTTATTTACAAAATATTTTGCAGTGTAATCACTTGTGTGAGACACTAAACATATAAATCCCTTTTTTCTCCTTATAAATTAATACCAATGCTATATTAGCTGAATCAATGAAATAACCCTGACAGATGTTCTTCTCACTATGTGGGATTTTATCCTAACTTTATCTAATTTTCAAAATCATAACTAAAGAATTTTGCACCGTATCCGTTTCAGATCTCTTGTAGATTTTCTCAGGCTACAGCGAGAAAAAGAATAAAACAAAACGTTAAAGGAATAGTACACCCAAAACATGATTAGCCTTCATTTTCTACTCACCCCCATGCTGAACAACACTCTGGAGTACTTTTTTGATATCTCAAATGCATCTGGAGATCTGGGAGGCTTCTTGCTGTCTGCTGACATTCAAATAATGGAGGTCTATGGCGCCCGAGGCAGAAAGGTCCATAAAAGTCCACAAAAAACGTGTCAATATTCCTCCATACTGCTCGTCCAATGTATTCCAAGTGTCCTGAGTGGGTAGCATCCAGAATTTACTTGAAACGAAGTCATTTAGAATGTTTTTAGAGCATAAACAGTATTGTATACTAGGGCTGAACGATCTATCGTTTTCGACCGAAAACCGCGATCTCAAGCAACGCGATTTTGGGAATGTCAAAGCTGCGGTTTTTCTTGGTGCATATTAGCCCAATAATTCCTCAATAATTCCAATGCATGCTCATGTAGAAAGGCTCTGTGTCGGCTATTTCCAATCAGAAAAGGCTCTGTGTCGGCCAGAACCAATCAGAAAGCTGAAAGGCTGCGCGTGACCAGATGACGTTTTCAGTGTAGCTCGTAAGCTCGAGATTCAATTTCAAGATGGCTGAAGCGGGAGCAGACGTGGAGCCGACAAAATTAATACCAAAGAAAAACAGCACGTCGGTCATTTGGCAGTATTTTGGATTTGAGGCCACTGATGAGCACCAGAAACAGGTGATTTGTCAAACATGTCGTGGGAAAGTGGCTACATCGGCTGGCAATACCACCAATTTACATCGTCACTTGAGAGTCCACCACCTTAACTTGTATGAGGATTGTATGGCGAAAAAGAGCCTTGAAACATCAAGTAGCAGTGATACTTCAGCAAAACAGCCAACCATAACTTCATCCTTTGCCAGTTTGACGCCTTATGAAAGAACTAGCCGAAGACACAAGGAGATTACCACTGCCGTAACGAATTACTTATCGAAGGATATGGTGTCTGTAAACACAGTAACCAAAGACGCATTTAAAAGTTTGCTACGCACAATGGACAAGAGGTATGTTCTACCCTCCCGCACCTACTTTAACCGAGTCGCCATCCCACAGCTGTACGGAGAATGCAAGGCCAAAGTTGTAAATGAGCTGGAAAACATGGAGTTTTACGCGTCAACTACGGATCTGTGGTCAAGTAGAACGACCGAGCCATACATGAGTTTGACGGTGCATTTCGTGAATGCAAACTTTGAGTTGAGAAGCCGCTGCCTGCAGACAGCATACTTCCCCACTGACCATACGGGGGAGAACATTGCAATTGGGCTTAAAGAGTGCTTGGCAAACTGGGGCCTAAAAGAAGAGGCCCAGACCTGCATCACAACAGACAACGCCACGAACATGGTCAAAGCGATGGAGCTCAATCAGTGGACCAGACTGCAGTGCTTCGGGCACCGGCTGCATCTTGCAATTGGTAAGTGTGTGTGTGTGTGTGTGTGTGTCCACATTTACTGTGTAAGAATTAGTGGTATCATAGTCTCTCAAACACAGTTAGGGCGGGGGAGGGGGACAAAGCGACCCTATGTTTGTTTTCACGCTTTTGTTAGCTGACCAACTGTTAGCGCAATGCTACCCTTTCTCCTACCTATAAAAATGAACGCTTTCATGAGTAAACTTTGAAACCTCCCAATAAGCTACTGCTTGCTTCTGTTTAGCTACGGAATGCCAAGGAACAGAGAGATACAAATGCCGTTTCCCCTAAGCAGGAGGTCTTCAACAGGGTTGTGCGCGACCCCTAGGGGGTCTACGGAGGTACTGCATGGGGGTCGCGAAAGTTTTGGTTGATTAGACTTTTTTATATATTCCCCCCTGCAACTTTTTTCATTAATTGAGATGTCTTTAAATACACAAATAACATGAATTAACACAGATAAATGGAGGCAGAAGATGTCTTTCAGTCATCAATGCTCACATTCAGTGACACAGCTCTTTCAAGACACCATTTCATTCACAGCACCTGTCAAGCAGGAATCAGAATCAGAAATACTTTAATAATCCCAGGGAGTAATTATTTTGTTAAATCACTCCATCTGTAATAGAGTGACTATAGGAGCAGTTTTATATAACACAATTTCATACAATATATATAATTAGGGGGTCCCTGCTCCATCTCGCCATCAGTTTGGGGGTCCTTGGCCAGGAAAATGTTGAAGACCCCTGCCCTAAGCTTATTTTTGACACACTTTAGTAAACAAAAAAATAATACATAAATAAATAAAAAAAAAGCAAATGACGCCAATGGTATTTTGTAGCAGATATGAGGATGGCTGATGCCACTTTATTACAGATTGAAAGGTTTGTTGTGTTTTAGTGGATTGTCGAATAAACATATTGCTGCAAATTAATCACCAGTTACAAATTAATGTATGGCGAATTACTTAATGTGATAGCACCACCTGATGTCTGCTGTTAAAAAAAGTTATGAAGTAGGCTTATCTGACTGTATGTAATGTTTTTCCCAGAAAATGCAGTCAAAGATGACCAACGCATCAAACGGGCCACAGGACTGTGCAAGCAGCTGGTAGCAGTCTTCAGCCACAGCTGGAAGAAAAAGGCGGCGCTAAAACAGGCACAGGAAGACCTGAATCTTCCTCAGCAGTCAATGGTCACCGAATGTCCGACACGATGGGGCTCCCGGCAGAAAATGATTGAGAGGGTGTTGGGACAGAGCAAGGCACTGTGCCAAGTTCTGTCTGAAGACAGGAAGACGCGGCACCTGGTCCCGACTTGGCAAGACACTGATGTGCTTGAATCTGTAAACAATGCTCTCGGTCCTCTTCAGGAGTTCACAGACGCCCTCTCAGGTGAGGACTATGTGAGCGTATCCTACCTAAAGCCAGTGCTCCACCTGCTGAGAACAGCAACACTTGCTGTAACTGACCAAGACACAGATCTCACAAAGGAGAAAGTCAAAAGCTCTCCACTACATTGAAGAGAAATACAGTGACCCAGCGACCCAGGAACTCCTGGACATCGCATCTTTCCTCGACCCAAGATTTAAGACCAACTACATTAGTGAGGAGAATGTCCAATTCATGAAAGACAGAGTGAAGATGGAAATGGAGCAGTTGGCACTAAAGGTAAGCTGTCCTTTTTCTTCACTCTTTCAAAATAAAACAAAAAGCTGCGTTTTTTCTATATATGTTTTTGAATTATACTGTAAGACCAAGGCAACATTTCAACATCAATGTCAGTAATCACAACTAATTGCAAAACATTATGCCTCCACTGTGTGTTGCAGGAGCAGAGGGCTTGTGTCAAAACCCATCCCATGCCACTCAGTACAGAAGAAGAACCACCATCCACCTCTACAAAGCGAAAGCGGTCACTAGGCAGCTTTTTCAAGGCGGTCCCTGCTTCCTCTACTATGCAGTTGGAGGATACCATTAAAGCAGAACTGGACAACTACCTCATAACTCCTAGCATTGATGGAGAGCAAGATCCACTGGCCTGGTGGAGAGTGCACAATGTCAACTTCCCCTGGCTTAGCAGGTTGGCTCGTAAGTACCTTTGCATACCAGCAACGAGTGCACCATCAGAGAGACTGTTCAGTGCCAGTGGTAATATTGTCACATGTCAGCGTGCAAGTCTGAAGCCAGCAAGGGTTGACATGTTGGTTTTCCTGGCCAAAAATCTCTAAAGAGATGTAGCGATGAAGGGGAACATCGTTTTTTTCATCTTATCCTGAAATCCCTTACTTGCACTTACCCTGACATAACTTTGTTCATCTTTTTTACTTATCTTTTGTTTACTGACTATGTAAAATAATTTAACCATTCTGGCATCATTTGTTGTGAGGAAAATATAGGATAATTTAAACTTTAATACTATTATTGTACTGTTGTTATTTTTTACTACCTTTTATGTTTCAATTCCTCTTGCCACTTTATTTGAAGAAGCACAGGTTTCTAAGTACAGGGGTTGTATTTCTGTAACTGCTCTGTTGCTTATGTTCATAAGCTAGGTCCTTTGAGCCATTTTGCACTACTTTTAAGGTAAGACTTCATTTTTGCTCAACTTTGTTGTTATATGTTATATTTTTTATGTAGCTTATGTTATTTTACAAAAGTGCAATTGTTTTGATGCTGCTGAGCCATTAATGTTTTTTTTATGAAAAATGTAAAAGAAGCAAAAGTTTACTTAAGAGGGCTCCCGTCCCTTTGTAATTTTTATGTAGCCTACGTTATTTTACAAAAGTGCAATTATTTTGATGCTGATGAGCCATTGATGCTTGATATTTTTTGTTAATGAATGTAAAAGAAGCAAAAGTTTACAAAGGAGGGTTCTCATTTTATTTGACTTTTTTGGATAATATAATTTGTTTCTTAGGTGCTTGAATAAACAGTCTTGCATTTGAAATATGTTGCCACCAGTTTTCATTCTTGCATTATCTTAATTGAATTCATTGGTTATATAATTATTAAATATATATTAATTTGTACTGAAATTTGATTAAAAAAAAATAAATCGTGGTTGAAATCGAAACCGCAATCTCTGCCAGAAAAATCGCAATTTCAATTTTTTCTTAAAATCGTTCAGCCCTATAAATCCTATACACTGTATAGGATTTCCTGAAAGCGCGCGCCGGCGCGTTCATGACGCTACGGAAGCCAGCATACCAAACCAGATGAAAGTGCGCATTCAGCGTCTGCTCTGCTGATAATGCAAGCGTAGAAGAAGAAATGTGCTGTTTACCTGTGCAAAGAAAGAAACAACGAAAGAAAAATGTCTGAGGACTTCAGTGTTGAGGAAGAGCATGAGTTCTTTGCCGAGCTGAATGCGCACTTTCATCTGGTTTGGTCTGCCGCGGTTTCCGTAGCGTCATGAACGCGCTTTTAGGAAATCCTATACACTACTGTTTATGCTCTAAAAACATTCTAAATGACTTCGTTTCGAGTAAATTATGGATGCTACCCACTCAGGACACTTGGAATACATTGGACGAGCAGTATGGGGGAATATTGACACGTTTTTTGTGGACTTTTATGGACCTTTCTGTCTCGGTCACCATAGACCTCCATTATTTGAATGTCAGCAGACAGCAAGAAGCCTCCCAGATCTCCAGATGCATTTGAGATATCAAAAAAGTACTCCAGAGTGTTGTTCAGCATGGGGGTGAGTAGAAAATGATGGTTAATCATGTTTTGGGTGTACTATTCCTTTAAGATGCTTCACCGCATGGGGAAAAGTTGACTGTCTTGTCCACATGTATAAAACAAGACTAGAGAGTAACACTTCTGGTCTAGGAAACAGTGTACCATTACAGGGTGACCTCACCTTCCAGGTCACGTGTCCCGAGTCAACCAGCATGACCCGCGGCTCGTACCGTTATGACGATGCAGAATGCATCAGGAGGATTACAGAGGATCTGTGATCTACAATTATTTATAATTCACCCTCCATTCCAGAAAAAAGTCTTTTGTTATTAAATTTGATCGCAACAGGTTATTAACCTGAGTAAATGCTACAGCTCAGCTAGCAGGAGAACAACACAAAACAACTCCTCGTCATGATTTAAAGCTCCTCTTTATTTACCCTCAGCGTCTCTGATCCACTATGGAGACACAGACACCTTTAGTCTAGTAGCTTGAAACTCAATGATTCAACCAACACTTACAAAAACAAGCCAGGAGTATTTTAACACAGTAAAAATTATAACCTATAAAAAAAAATTATCCAGTTATCACATCTAAAATATTTGACTTCACAGAATTTTTATTTAATCACTTGTTATGACCTGATTATTTTATGTTGATGTACACAAATCTTCACTTGATGAACCAACCTAATGTACTTACTTTAAACTAAATGAGCATTAATTAATGTTTGTATTGATGCCGGTTGATTAATTTAAACAAATTATAATTTTCACATTTCATTTGACTTTACTTCTAAAATAATTTTCATTTCCCATTTTATAAACTCTATAATAAAAACACCTGGCCAACAGATTAATTTGAATGTATTTATTACTTGTTAACATGGCCTTAAAGCTACAGTGTGTAATTTTCAGCGACATCTAGCGGTCAGACTGCAGACTGCAGCAACATGAACGTCTCCCCCCCACCGCTTCTCCCCCCCAACAGTACGGCGAGCGTTACGGGACAAAATGTCTTCCACGACGTCCGCATCACCTACCTTCTCAAGTGATGAGGTTTGTTTACATAGATAATTTTACAGATAGTATTTCATTAGTCTGTGTAGGGTATAGATTTCATGTAGACTTAAGATAATAAATATACCCGTTATTTTTTCTACGTCGTTGTGACGTTTTGGTGAGCTGCTTTGCATGGTGATATAAACAGACGAAGTAATTGTAGTCATTAGTTTAACAGCGAGATTGTGTTCGCTGGAAGAATATATATTCCCCGTTTACAGAGTCCAAGTCTTGTTTGTGGCACGGGGGTTACAAGGCGAGGAAGAGGGAAAGGAAGAGGGCAGAGAGGCCGGGGTGAGCGTGCAGCTGGGGCCAGGCGAGAGAGGGGAGCCAGCGGGGTGAGAGCAGAGGAGGAAAGGCTTGAAGATCTCCAAAGGAGCCGGAGAGAAGTAACCGAGGTATATATCCAGAAAATTATTTTACAGAAAATTACTGAATCATTACCTGTGAAACGTCAGGGACGTTGCTGAATAAGTATACTGGAGAGTAACAGCATCATCACGCAGCATGTTATTGTTTTAGACAGGTCTGAGCATCCTGTACTCCAAAAACTGCAGTGATATTAGACAATTGTGTGTATAGGATTAATTACCTGTCCAAGAGAAAACTGGCAACTTGAGCGTCACTTTGAAAACCTTTTTCCTCCATCAGTGACTTCCATCGTGTAAATGCCGTGCCAATGTTGATCCGTGTTTTTTGTCGTTTCTTGTCACTCTTGCGTTTATTCTCGTCGTGTTTCCGCTTCTTAGATGACGGGGGTTCGGTGTCCGCCGCTTTTCGTTGTGATACAGAGTAGGCATGATCCTCCATTCGTCTGATGTTTGGCCACACAGTGCCAAACAGTTTGCAAAGTCACTCACGCCTGCCGCCTTGTTTACCTTTCTTGTTACCGAGGCGCAGTATACCTGCTTCTACTTCTTCTTTGGTTTCAGGCAGACTAAACGCTTCTCAGGCATAATACTGCCATCTACTGTTCAGTACCGTCTCAGTTCATCTCTCTCAACTTGCCGTAGTTATTTTCGAGCGTCATGGGAGATCTCGCAATCGCTAGTTTGTTGCCTCTACGCTGCCGTAGCGCAAAGATGTCAGCCTCCATGGCTGCGAGACCCGCTCCTATGTAATTATAAATAACGAATTCTAAGGCAACGCAAATGTTATGGTTAAAAGGCTGAGCTCATAGGTGATGATAAATAACATAGTTATGTATAATATATTAAATTTCTGAATTTATATGCCTGTAATTATTACACACTGTAGCTTTAAATGGTGTAAATTGACGTTAGCTAACCTCAGCAAGCGGTAGCAGTTAGCATCCGTTGCTCACCACAACAGCCCTCCTGCTCTTTATAACATAATGCTGCGTTCACACCAGACGCAGCAGGCGCAGCAGAAGCAGCGAGTTTACATGCAAAGTCAATGGTTGACGCGCTTCAAGGCGCAGCAAAAGGTCCCGCAGCTCGTTTTGAGCAGCAGGTGCAGCGTGTCAGGAGTGTTTAAGCATCTGACGCACGCCGCAAACGCGCTGCTGCTCGAGATGGAAAAATTTGACTTTTGCTGCTCGACGCGCCGCATCAACCAATCAGTGAAGCTGATCTGGGAGCCACATCGCCACATCGCTGATGATACAGAGTGCTGTGATCGCTCCTCTGAAACAGTTTATTAACGCCTTAATTAACTTAAAATGCTGAAACCTGCCGACAAAGCGTGTTCGCTTTTATTATCCTGGTGCCTGCAGTTTGGATTATGTACATGAAAACAACCTTCCAGCCGCTGTG